AAACCCTAAACCCTAAAGCTCTAAAGGGCTCCTAACAGTGTTGCCCACTGCCGAATCGGGCAGATCTGCAGCTCCGAGACATCCCCGCCGTCCTTCCTGGCCGCTTGGCGTCGGGTTGAGTATTCAGGGTTTAGGGGTTGAAGAGTTTAGGGTTGAGGATTTAGGGCTTAGGTTTCAGGGTTTAGTGTTTAGGGTTTAGGCTTTAGGGTTTATGTAGGGCTTGGGGGTTGGGTTTCAGGTTTGAGTGTCTACGGCAGCTGTTGCAGTTGAAATGCTTCCTGGCCTTTCTCGTCACTGCCATGACTATGGCCATGGCCCTGATTGTGTCTACTGCCAGCTTTGCTGCTGCGCCGACTGCCAGTAGCACTCTTATGGAGTAGTACGATTGATGATATAAAGCCTGCCTTACCCATAAAAAGGAATATACCCTAATTCCCATAGTTTAGGTTCCTTAAGGTAATGCAAGATTTGTATCATCAACAGTAGTTTGTCGACTTATTATGCCTATGAGCAGCATCGGTGACAGAGCCTCCCCGGGCTCTGGAAGCTTCGTGCGTAAGGGCAAAAGCCAGTCAGTGCCCAGTCATGATCTGAGGGGTTTTTGGGGTTTAGAGTTTGACCCTTTGGACGTGGTTTCAAATGATCTGATGATCTACACTAACATGTTTTCTCCTCTGCATGTTGCCATTATCCTTATCGGAGTTCTTGACTAGCCTAAACCTTCATAGGACCTAGACCCCAGACCGCAAAGCTGGGCCCAAAACAACACGCAACCTTATATTCCCTCCACGCTTAAGCTCATCGTTGTCAAGATGCTGCTTGACGTGACTCTTCATCGTTTGCGCTTGTTGCTGTTCATGCCAGATGAAAACCTACATCAGTGTAGTAAGAACCGGTACAAAATCAACACCCTTCTAAAACGTGATTGCGAAATGAAACCTAGCAGAAACCTAAACCCTAAGCCCTAAACCCTAAACCCTGAACCCTAAACCTCTACCGTCCTGTAATCAGGGTCGGGATCTGCCGAGGCCCGCTAAGGCGATCCGCATCTTGTGCAGAGGGTCCATATGGGAGTTTCCGAAATTAGGGGTACCTTATTTTGGGGTCCTTATAATAAGGATCCTACTATTTAGGGTGCTATATTGGGGTCCCCTATTTTCGGAAACCCCCATATACACTACCACTATGGAATCAAGCGCCGAAAGACCATCCTGATAATTGCCAATAATTGTTTCGGGGGCCGTACTTCCATAATAGTAGTACATATGGACCCTCTTGGTTAAGGAACTTGAAGAACCATCAGGGGTGTGCATTGCTCGGTAGGGCAAAGCTCAAATCCCTAAACCCTAAACCCTAAAGGTTAAGCCTTGAGGTTTTCATGAATCTCGTGAAATTCCTTGGCCACCTCATCAAGAGCGCGGAGGTGGGATTGAGAAGCCGCTACGTCTTTGACTTGTTCTTCTGTCCCTGTCGTTTTGTCGTTGATTTTTCTCGGGAAGCCCCGATCTTTGTATAGTTTCCGAGTTGACTGCTTGGGTTTGGGGCTTAACCAGGGAGTTGCAAGGTTGGCGTCCGGTGTGTGGCTTTCGGGAGTGTTTGGATTCAGGAATTATCGTTGGGTGCAGTGGGTCGGCCTCGGTCTTTCGAGCTCTTTGTTGTAGACCTTAGGTGGGTGGGTTAGTGTTTCGTTTGAGGGAATGTTGAAGTGATCAGAGAGGCACGGTAGGTGGATCGGGGTGTTTAGTCAGCTTGAACATGACCTAAACGCCTAAATTAGACTCTAAAGGGTGACAGAAGGGGTTGTTCAGGAGCAACTCGCTCCGTGTTTGTCCAGTTTTACACCAGCCCCACAACGCGACGAAAACCGCAGTAATTCTGCGCCGGGGAGGCAAAGGAGGCTTCCGCACTACTCTGAGTAGAAAAAAAGCACGGTATATGCCAGACTTCCAGTCTTTTGGTTTCCTATCTGTCGCCCTGGCCATCAACTCCGAGCGACCGGGCTTGAATAGGCAAATGGCAATGCCAGAAGATGACAGTAGTAAGTAATCTTGCAGGTAGTCTTTTTTTCAGCACTGCAGCAGCAATGATCATTCGTCGCCGATGTGGAGTTGTGTGTGTTTATCACCCGTCTGACGGTAATCGTACTGTTGAGGTCAACAGATGCTAGAACTACATCAGTTCTAGCGTCACGGCGACAGTGCGATAGTAGCAACTTTGAGCGTTGTATCCGTGCGGCTTCGCGGCAAGACCCTGACTTGGCGGCTGAATACGTGACCTTTAGCCTTTTGAGATCAGTATGATACTACCATAACCTAAAGGGTTGCTGACACTTTGTCTTTGGGCTAGGGTACTCAGCACTGAAGCTGATTGTGGTCGCAGGAGTGGAACATGATGAACTTGGCCTTGCTTCAGAACTTCGATCCAGGCGCCCTTCGCACTTTTAGGGGCTCACGGCATGAGACGGCTTGGATCTTGAAGACTCATGGGACTTAAATAGTAAGTAAGGTTATAGGTTATGCGTAAGGCTAGTAAGGTTAATAATTGGGATAGCCCTACTTCGGGCACTTGTAGCCCCAAATATGACCTTTCTGAGTCGCTTGAGCCCGTAAGTAGGGTCTTTGCTAGGGTTCTGGGGGTTCTGGGCTTCGGGGTTGGGGGTGCTTGCGGTTTGTCAGGCCCGCTTCACTAAACTTCCGACACTTGCGGAGCACACGACCCTAACGACAGAATAGGACGCCTAAGAGACCCTAAATCCTAAACGGCCCTAATCCCTAAACCCTAAACCCTAGAAGGCCCTAGACCCCAAACCCTAAACGCTGAGACGAGACGTGTGGGGAATTGGGGGCCAAACCTTCAAGCAGAATCCCTAAACCGCTGTCTCAACATCAAGGACTGGTACTTCGCCTTCATAAACCCAAATCCCAAGCTCTCAACTCCACCGCCCCAAATCCCTAAACCCTGAACGCTGTACCCCTGGATCCTAAACCCATGGAAGCCCGGAAGACTCCCTCCGCCCCGTAAGACTTTACTTGCAGTAGAAGCCCAAGAGTTGGAAACCCAATAGCCTCAATGTAAAGGGAATCCCGGGCGCTATGGAGTTTACTCTCGTACCACCCTTGCACCTTGTGTTGCTTCTGTATAACTTCACTTGGACAGTCGCAGAACACCAGACTGCGAGTATTCTTCGCATGTGTACCCCTAAACCCAAAACTCCTAAACCCCTAAACCCCCAAACCCAAAACCCCTAAACCCCTAAACCCAAAACCCCTAGCACCTAAACCCCCAGCGCCTAAACCCTAAACCCCCTTGCACCTAAACCCTGAAAGCCTTAACCCCGACACCCAAGATCCTAAAATCGGGGAAACTGCAGAGCTGCACAGGTTTAGGGTCGCACAGGAGGCGTTGTTGCGAATGCTTAGGTTTAGGGTTTAGGGTTTAGGGTTAAGGGCTTCGGGCTCATAAGGCCCGGTTTTGGGGATTGTCTTATCGCAAACCACCACCTACCCTAGCCCACCAGAACCTACAATTCTGTAGGGTCCTTATTACAGTAATTGCATAACAGGGTTTATAATAAGAACCTACAAAAAAGGTAGGTTTTGGTAGGTTCAGGTCGACTCTGATTTGTTCCTGGCAGCATCCGACCCTTCAGGGCTCAAGCACTTCAAGCACTGCTTCTTCCGGCTGCTCATTGAGACCTCTCGTGATTTCGCGCTGCGACAGGTGCCGAAGGCTCGTGGACCGTGCTGGGCTTGGGTGTAGTATTGAATATAGGGGGGCATGAATAATGAAAACAAGCCCTGTGTTAGGAGTGTCAAAGAACATAGTATTTGCTTGGTATATGCGCCTGAATATGTAGTAATACTACCCTCGTATAGTTTATTTTTATAGTCAATGCATAGCATACCCGAAGCACTCTTCTACCTATGAAGGCGCTTCTACCCTAAAACCCTTTAGAACCCATGGCCGCCATAGCCTTCCTACCGCAGAAACATCTGTTACTTATGAAGGCCCTTGGATGAGCACTTCTTCTAGGGGTGGCGGTAAATTTCGGCGCTCCCATGGTATGAAGCATCCTAAGCCCCAACCCGCAAACCCTAAACCTCAAATCCAACACTAACCCAACACCGTTCACCGCATATCCATACTGCACCCTTAAGCCTTGAGCAGCGTGCATGAGCGATGATGTCCTCAGGGTTTAAGATTTAGGGTTTAGGATTCTGGGTTTTAGGGTGCACCTGTGGCCCAACAGACCTACGTTTTTTTGGAGCTATATATATATATATATATCTATATATATATATATATATAGAAAAACCATAACAAGGAACTCTGGAATGGTACGTCTTTTCGGCTACGAGTAGGGTTTGGGGGCGCTCAGGAATCGTTACGAGCAAGAGGCCCCTGCGCCCTAAGGAATTGAGGGTTTAGGGTTTAGGGTTTAGGGTTTAGGGTTTAGGGTTTAGGGTTTAGGGTTTAGGGTTTAGGGTTTGGGGTTTAGGTTTAGGGTTTCAGAGTTGAGGGTTTCAGGGTTTGGGGTTTGGGGTTTAGGAGCCCGATCCCTGCGCCGTTGAACCCTGACTGAAGGAAACAATGGCCCCCCCGAATCCTCAACCGTGTAAAATCCTACCCCAAGGGTCCAAGTAACTACTGTTGATGATATAAATCTGCATTACCTTGGAACTCCCTTGAAGGAGCTCTTAAAGGAGCCCTTCTAGGAACCCGCTTTGAAAGGAACCCGTAGAAGGAGCCCTTGAAGGAACCCCTCCGAAGCCCTAGGCCCAAGCCCTAAACCCCTAAATCCCAAACCCTAAACCCCTAAACCCTGAGCCCTTAACGCCTAAATCTTAAACCCTAAACCTTAAACCTAAAACCCTAAACCCTAAACCCTAAACCCTAAACCCTAAACCCCTAAACCCTAAACCCTCAAAAGGGAGCCCTTAAACCCTAAACCCTGGAGCCCTTAAAGGACTTAAAGAAGCAGAGGCCATGGACTTCAAGGCTCCCTCCATCTTGGCCAACACGCCTCCCACCCTCTTCCGGGGCACCAGCCGAGGCCCGGGTAGGGGTTTAGGGCTTAGGGCTTAAAGGTTAAGGGTTTAAGGATTTAGGGCTTAGGGTTTAGGGTTTAGGGTTTAGGGTTTAGGGTTTAGGGCTTTGGGTTTAGGGTGTAGGGTTTACGGTTTAGGGTTTAGGGTTTAGGGCTTTGGGTTTAGGGCTTTCGGGCAGTTTAGGGTTTAGGGTTTAGGGCTTAGGGCAGTTTCGGGTTTAGGGGTTAGGGGTTTAGGGGT